TTATAAATTCGATGTCGCTAATGAAATATGCAAATTTCAAAACAACAGCTAATTTCAAAAAGCGTGAAAATTCCTGAGATGCAATCATCAAAGTGCCGAACGATTTCCCAGCCACCTATTTTTTTTTAAAACGTCCGTATGTACAGAACAACATTTTGAAATAACGACCAGCCGAAATAGTTGTTCGCGCACAAGTGAACCGTCGAAAACATCGATCCACAGGTGGGGAGCCACTTTCGCGGAAACAAAGGATGATCGAGTCATGAAATCACGCTCCAGTGGTGGCAAACGCGTTAGAACAACGGCCAGATTGGAACTGGTGACGACTGGTCATAAACGACAGACCGATGACGTAAGGACGTAACTCACGTCTATGAGGTGCGCTCAGGCGATATTCGGTGAAGAGGCGTTCAAAAAACGTGTTTCATTCCAGCTGGTCCGGCTGCACTCTCGAAGTTGGCGGATCACCGTTTAGACGATTTCCTTCTCGGGCTGCTTCTGGTCTCCCATTGACGCTTTCGCCGTTGCTCATCGGGAGTAACGTCGATGCTGATACAGTCGGCCTGTCGTCGTCTTGACCATCGCTGCACTGCTCCAAATGCTTGGCATGCATTTTGGGACATTGCGACACCAAATGGTCAGCCGATCGACAATGATAGCAACTTCTGTTCTGAGGAAAGGCTCGACACTTCGAAGCGATGTGATAACCATACTGACCGCAGTTGAAACATCTGTTCAGATAAAGCTACAATACTTAAAACACAACGAAGGTAACAAATAATCAACTATAATAATGACATAAAAATTCAATAAACATTAATAGTTCCAATATTACTAAAATATGGTATAATTCTGTTTTATTTAACGTACAGATGCTTTCTAATTTTTTTAATCTTTCATGCATGAATTTAATTTTTCTTACTCAGAAGCTGCGAGATTACGCGTTGAGCACTCTTTTTACAAGAACATGACATTAGTCATTCTCTACGAAAATGCAGCAACCATCACAAGATGAAACTATGTTTAGGTTAGCATCGTTGTTTGCGATTAACGCCCGAGAGAATAAACATCGATTATAGCCTGTGATGACAACCCTGCCTTAAATCGTAATATTGTACAGTGGAATAATTACATGAATGAAGTTATTTTTAAAAATATTAATCTGACTCCATGTCTGATTGCTCGTAATAATATCACGGTTAAAATCAAGAAAATGCTATCATTCTGAAGGAATTCTTCCACAACAGCGTGTTTTCAGTGCAATTTGTAAATGTGCTAGTGAATGGATGTGGGTGTTAATCGTTCAACAACAGCTCTAATGCCATATACGAATGAAGTATGCAGTGTCGGTGCTTAAACTCTGTCAATTATATAAGTTCCGTTTCTTCCTGGGACAATTATCGTTCCTGATCAATGAAAAGTTTACAGTGGCATACAATCGACCGGTTATGGCGGTCCAACCGGAAACCGCAATTACAGTTTCGTCAATTCCACAACCAGGACGTTCAGCGTACCGAGCGGATTTGGAGTAACATTAAACAACTAAATCAAAGGTGTTGTGGAACCGAAATGGGAATGTTTCACTCCTACACGACGGAACTGATGCGGGGCACAACGCTGACTGGTGTCGAACTACATCTGTGCACGACCTGACCAGATGGCCTCGCTCAGAACTTTGGTCACCTCGTTGTCCGTCAAGGAAGCTGGAAAGGTCAGTGCAAATGAACTGCACACAAAGTCTACTGTGCACAAACACCAACACGCAGATAAACAATCAGTCTGTTCAGACACCTGCAGATATGCCACGATCCGTACGTACACTTATACATATAAACAGGCCTTTGTTCGGTGCTGCCTAGTGATGCGGTTCTGCATCCACGCACTGCAAGTATCTAAATACCATGGAGCCATGGCCTGCTTAAATGGTTCCTTAGGCAAGTAGAAGCAAAGGGACGATGCCATTAAGCCGCTGTAATCCGGTATCAAAAGGGAAAGGGTAAATTCCTTGCTATAAAGATATCTGCTTTTAATAAGAATAAACTTACGCCGTGCCCGGGGGCTTTCATCCCGGTACCTTTAAAGTGCAAAGCAAACTGTTAGATTATTGCAGGGCGAATTCGGAGAACCGACGCGTATAAACCGTATATTAATTTTTGGTTTCCAGAGTTCAGACATCCTTGAGCGGTTTACCGTAAATGTTATAATCCGAAGTTTGGCTCATCCATTACGTAGATTAGTTCAGAGTTCATAGTGCTAATTATGCAATTCACGTGCGTACAGAGGTTCACATAAATGATATATTTGAATGGGGGCGTGGTGACCCCATGTCTAAAAGGTCTGCTTTATACTTCGGAAGCACCGAATTCGAATTCGCTCAAAGGACAATGTTTGTTCTAACCGTGAATTTTCTTGAACAAGGAATTCGTCCAACGTTGATTCGAAGCGGTCATTCGAGAAACGGGTATTAAGTTGGTGACTAGCAAATAAAAAGGACAGCACGGTGTTCTGGTTTGGTGACGCAAGAATGAACGGAAACGGTGTAGGGCTATTCTGTCCAACGTGGCTGACCCACCGGATAGCTGACTGTTCAATGCAATAATAAACACATGGTGTAATACCTATTCCGAGTAAAAAGGCTGCATCAAACCTGGCTAACTACAGCTCGCTGTTAGCGTGTTAGCCAACAGCTTTCTGCAACCAAGCAAGTGAACAGACGACAGCGCGACAAACGCGACGCGGACCAGTGAGAGGAAGCTCTGAGGAGCATAACCCTCGGTTAGGCGAGGGCGATACGCCTCGACCACGTTCTCGGTTCAGTGGTCCGTCTTCACTGGCGACCGCAGAACGCACTCATCACCATTAACACGTCCTGATCGCTCATCTCGAAGACGGGCCTGGTGGCAGCAAGACGGTCACCGACACGCACGCGACACGCGACAGGTGGCCAGAGACGAGGTGCAGTGATACGAGCACGACGTAAACGTACCACATGGCAGACCACCGACAGACCGAGCGACAGTCCGCGAGTCAACTCAATTCACGGTTACAAGTTCGGCGCCGAACAGACGCGGCCAACGATGACATTCAGCGTACGACACAAGCACAAGCAACAGACCAATTGCGCGATTTTCAGCGTACTGTATTACGTTAAGTTTCAATCGATTCATGCGTTAACAGGGGACCAGCCACGACCAATGACGTAGCACGCGAGTTTACACGTTTGACCTAATTTTCATTCCAAAGCTCTGCTTGACCAACAAAGGACTCGTGTCTACTTGCAGAATCAGAAGTCATCAAAACAATTACTCATAAACTTTTTCGTATGTGTCGCTAAAGCACAAGGTCATATATGACGGAAAACAAAACTGGTCGCTGTCGCTGTCAATTTGCTGCTAATGTAGCGTAACGGTTCCTAATGGCTAGATATTTAATTTAGAATAACAATTGCTTAACTTTAGGTTATCACAACATTAGCATATTAACTTCCAGAATATAACGAGAAGCTCCATTTTCATTCAAGACAGTTCTAACTAGCAACGCATCTTCGTCGTACATAAATAAGGCAGTTTTAACACAGTTTCAGCATGGCCTCTTTCGTCATTTCCCAATTATTGTCTCTCTTAATATCATATTCTACGAATTATTCAAAGAAAGCAAAGTCGCTACGGGTTCTTTCTATGGCATTTAACACTTTATTAGTTGGACCTGTCAAAATCTATCTAAAATCAACAGCAGCTAAGTGAAAATTCTCATACAAAAACAGTTATGTGCAGGAAGCATATCCCAAAACGGGGTGTGGGTTACAGTTCAGTACATAGTAGATTCAGAGATGCAGATTCACATGGTTAGAACATCTATTGAGCTAAACGAAACGTTAGATGTACGCCATCCGTTTCATGGCGACAAGTCTCCATTGTCTTGGACGATGCAGCTTTTTGAGCAACAGGCACATGACGAAATGTTCAAAATGATTTTTCATTTTTGATGAGCAAGAATCTTGTCATCGTTGAGGCTACCGTCATTATCTACATCAGATGTAGCACCGTAATCTGAAGTTATGCATAAATCGATGCCAAAGACAGTATGATTGCAACCGCAGTAGATCGCGCTGCAGAACGCTGAACTCGCAATAGAGAAGTCCTGGGTTCCGGTACTGATTTGGTCAGCCGTTCTTCATTCATCCAAGACAGATAAATAAGTATCACATCATGAAAAGAATCACGAGACCATAAGCTTCAATGGTCGCCAACTTGGCGACATAATATTTAAAAACATGGCATTTTGGCTAATGAAACATAAAAGACGATCAGCACCTCATCATAAGCTTCCCGAAAGAACGTTGCCAGAAACTGCATCGAATCATAAAAGGTGTAATGGAGACTTACACCTAAGCGGCTCCAGGTTTTGCATTTGTTGACAAGTAGACATTCGAAGATGCTTACGTTTCCCTCAAGTGACGAAGTACGACCAGTGACCTTGTTTCGTCACTTGCCACACATAAACACATAGCAAAGAGGTAGCGCGAAAGCTAATTATCGGCACTAGTAGCAAAGACATCATACTGGTCATCAGCACATGAGACGTCTTAAATGCATATGCTGCCCGCAACAGTACAGCATATTGCTATTGGTATAAAACAGGTTCTTACCTCGAGGAGAACAAGCTTCGCCTATCATTTTCCTGAAATTAATTGTGTAGTTGTTTTTCTGCATTAACAGCCTCGTCGTTTTTTTACTCCGAACCTCGCCTCCCTTAAGACACATTTTACCGTTGAAAACTCATACATCAAACGTATAAACAGAATAAATGAAAACTCAGTCTCCGACTTAATGATAAAAAGTGATCGACGACAAACAGAATGTTCATCACACTAGTCGAACGTCATATATGTCGATGCTGATGAACGGAAACCTTGTCGCTTGCGTAGCAAGGTCAGACCACAGAAAAAAATGGATGGCATCAAAAACAATGAAGTGAGAACTTTAAGAGCTTTGGAGCAAACTTAGTCTGACAATAGACTCTGAAGCAGAAAGCAAATAATAACGGCTAATAAGTGTTTCTGTCGGCTGTGCTGCGAAAATCTGAATCAGTGACAGCTTAGTCCGTTGGGCG